ACTGCAAAGCATTCCATAGGAAAAAACCCGACATAGTAAGAATGCCAACTCAGATACACGTTGTGAACAAACGTGAAAGAATAGCGTTGTCATCGTTATTATTTTATATGCTTAATAGGGAATTCTGATATAACAGAACACAAACTGGGACAAACTATTCTTTTGTATGTAACTATCTCTCTTATATATGGACGAACCTAACTATTTCTAGGAACGAACCGATGCATTTGTAAGACTAACGAACTACGCGAATGAATGGGCTCTGTAGCTTTGCAGTTTTTAAGTGGAACTGAATAAGATGGAAGGAATTAAGTTGTCGTGTATTCTGGTGAAAATGAAAATGATGAGATTATTTAATCTGCTGTAAGACAGAAATATACTTGTAAAACTTTGACTAGAAAATCTAATATCCGGTTTAAATTAATTATTATGTTTTCGGCTTACTCACGTAATTATTTGACGAGGAACTCAACTATTTTCAAGCCATGCTGGGGGCTCATATGGGGGCTCATGAGGAGCATTCCACGACCCGCGACGCGGCGACTGTCCCGCTGCTGACAACAGCGCGCCATCTCTCACCAAAGTTTTAATTCAAATTACTTAGGTTCAAAACATTCATGTTCCTAGATACTCATGTAGATTATACAAACGATTTATTTTTTATTAGTATTTTATTAGTTATTACTAAATTACCAAAGTAACTCCAAATAAATCTATTTACACCTACATGATCTAAATGTGAGGCTAGAAGTGGGATCTAAAATCATAAGCCGAGGCGCAGCTTGTCCGTCATCCGTGTAACCTATTTAGGGTTGAAACTAGTCCGGGGCTGTGCCATCTAATATTTATGAGAGATGCCGAGCGAAGGCAACGCACAGACCGAGTTTTAAAGAAGGAATCGTGTTTTTAATTATTTGGTTTCATGGCCACTTTTTACACTTTAGTGTGGTGTAGGGTTGAAGATGTTACTTGTCTTACCCTGTAAGACGTTGATGATCTGGAATATAGCTACACGGTATGTCATATTTACTTCATATAAGCCAGAGTTTAAGTGTCAGGTATGAAAGTTACCGTAACTATATATAATACAAGACTTGTTAAACTGATTTCAAATGAATCCTTGATGATAACACAAATAAAATAATCCATAAACCACTAATTTCCCCCTCCATTCGTTATAAGAAATTTTCATAAAATTCCGTCATCAATTTCCCTCAGCGCCCATAGAACCGCCTCATGCACACATCAAATGAAATGTTCTCAGACTCACACATATAAACATTTCACACAATAATATGATTAATTCGGGCGTTGTTGCGTCGCGTCATGGCGTCATACCGTGGTATTAGCATACGTCATGACGTCGTGTGCCGACAATCTATTAAACGAAAAAACTGCCCCCGCCGCTCCCTGGATACGCATACAATATTTATGAGATATCCTACCGGCGAGATGAGATATGTTCTGTGTTAATAGCGGCCAGCGAAAAGCGGGGAATGTTCATATATCCCATACGTTCATCGGTTACATACGTTTAAAATCATATGACATTAAAACACAAACCTGAATATTTTAAAGTTTGGATAGTTTAGTGCAAAATTCAGATCTTTACTCGCTTAAAATATTACATATTAGATCAGTATATACCAGTAATTAGAGTTTTCCAATTTGTTTAGTGTATTCCCGCTTAATTCGTATAACTTAGGCCGGTCAGTTGAACTAGTCTCAGATTAAAGTTGGGTCCGACGCGGTCCGCCTCGGGAATCATGGTCCACAAGTAAATCCTCCGAGTTCCCTGCAAACTGTTTATTACTTTCAACCAAATTATTTGACAACTTGCGAATTTTTACACCAAACTTTGCGAAAAATGAGATGAGACTTAAGTACTGAAGTTTGTTATTGAATTCGACAAAATACTCTTAAATTATTGTATTAATGTCAACTCTCTGTTACTTAAAATATTGATGAAAGATTCCTTTAGATTTTATTTAGATGACTGTAATTATTCATTGAGTATTTTTAGTTTTACTAACATATATCTGCTGCCTCGTTTTGCGCGACTACCAGACAAGGTGTCTTGGGTTCGATTCTTGGGTCGGGTAAAGTATTACTGGGTTTTCAAGAAAAATCTCAGTATTAGTACGGAGTCTGGAATTGAGCCTTGTATGTGGCAATCCCCATTACCTGGAACTCATAAGATAAATAGTGAAAAATGTGTTACATTGCACAGTGACATTAGGTACTGTAATGTGCACCCCTACCTACCCATTCAGTGACAAAAGGCGTGATGTTATGTTACCATTTAGCTCATAAAATACTCGTTTTTATCCAACAGTCTTGTGTTACACTTGTGTATAAACAAATAACACATAATAATTTCCCTTCACGCCATCAACTTGAAGAATAGAGGGTGGGAACACAAAAAATTAACAAAGTAAGGTCCACAAAATAAAAGGTCTGGGTCCATTAATATGTTGGCTAGAGGTGGACCCACACTTGTGTAGCGAGGGGAACATTATGTTACTTTATTGTTTAATGTATTATGTTGATTAGGGCTTTTATAATACACGAAGACACGTAAATTGTGTCTTACAGGAGATTATTACTGTTTTAAAACTATGTACTTATTAAATTTTTTTTCGATTTAAAACCTCACAACATTTTCTCTCTTAACAAATATATTTGTAGCTGAAAAATTAAAGGAAAGCAATTTATGTAAAAAAAAAACAATTTTATCTCACCCAATACCACGCTTTGGCAGTTAGAGTCAAAACCGCTGGAAAAATCACTTGAAACCGTAAAACCAGGTTGAATATATAAAAAAAATACTACAAAATAGT